TCTCCAAGCAACAGCATGGATAATTTGGGCAATCTGAAGTGTGCCATTACAGAGGGTTTCTTGCATTAGCAGAAACAGCCGTATTATTTTTATTATTCTAAATAATAGTACCAACTGTTTTTCACGTAAGTGATTGGTACCTAACGTTTAACTGCACTTTTAGTGCGATGTCAGATATAAAACGTGGTCTTTGCCATGGTGTTCGGTTACTTTACAATTTAGAATGCCACTGTTTGCTGCACTTTCTTGTCCACCTAGTCAGCAACATCTACGTGTGTCATTTGCATTCTGGGATCGATAAGGAACTACTTATGGCACACAGTAAAAGCATACAGGTATTCGATCTGCTTGCTGGAACCTCTAGCCAGGCCCTTGTTAAGGTATAATATATAGTACTGTGATAATTCACGTTCCAACTTAGGACATTTTGATTTCAACTTTCATTTGTATTACTCTACCTATGCGTTTAATCTAGTAATGCTTTCTATCCTATCATGCATATCTAGGTCACTAAGGTCCTGGACTGCGTAATAAAGACAGGGCCAAATTTTATATATTTCCATGTTGAGTACGTTCTACCATAGACTTTCCACCGTTACTCGGTTTTGGTTTACGGTAGTTCTTTTGTACCCGGTTTTGTTATAGATACAGTAGAGCGGAAGATATTGTCACTTTATTGCTAGATTTGTATAACTCTCTGTCCCAACGTTTCGCTTTGCAGGTCTCTTTTGTAGTTTTTCCATTGGGTGCTGAACTTTGTATACAAAACGAGACTTCTGACTAAACTAGGTGTACCAAATTTAGGTCATATCTCCTACAAATACATGGTAAAACAAGTTCGTCACGTATTCATTTCTTAGACAGAAAACTGCATTGAGACATTCAAGCAGAATATTATATAGTTCGCTATGTCAGCTGAAAATATTCTCCTTTGGCAACTTTTCAGTGAGCTGCAGATAACAGAGATGGTATAGCTACTTTGTTCATTCACCATGGATGAGCCACCACCTCACGAAAAGTGGCTAGACACTACTGGAATACTCACAAATGGTTTTCGCAATGGTGAGCTCCGTAGTGCTCACCGACCCAGAAATGCTGGCGGATCGATCCATGGAACTTCCCGGACCACAAGTCGACGTCAGCAAAGTCAATACCCTGCTGTCAAGGGGCATATCTATTGTTAGCTTACAATCAGGGATGGAAGCTTTACAAGTACATGTTGCAACACCTAGTCAACAGATTCAGCGACACGCAGAAATTCAGTCGTAGCCATTCAAAATCATCGAGACGCCCAAACTGAATCAAAACCAGGGTTTTTGTCGGAATCACTTATGTTTCGGTGCTACAGACCGTCAATGCGTCGAGTCATGCATCTTAGACGAGAAGCAGGAATGCTATTTGGCCTTCCGTTGATGGTGACGAACGCAATAGTCTAAAAACAAAGTCGCTTCATCCCTGTTAGGGATTTATTTGCGGTCTCGAGTTTCTATATTACAACGTAACCGAATTCAGCGTTTAACCTGAAGTCTCAAATAACATGTTGTCGCCATTGTTGAGCAGACCATCTGCAAACCAACGTAAACCGGTTGAAGTGTTCGGCTATAAGATGCTAGAGTTCAACCCGAACGTCCAGCAATACTTACCGCAGGATTTCAAAATAATAGCCGTCTTTCGCAATCATGGGCATTTGTTTTCCTTAACATTAAGGGCTTCCCGTTCACTTACGATGTAGCTTTAAATCAACTCTCGGAAACACCTCGGGATTGTTGGGACCATCGTCAAGATGGCGGTGATTACTCTCATCTGTATTGTGCATCACGCTTCAAAGGTCTTTAAAAATTCCTTCAACCAGCATCCTAATCTTTCTCGCGTTCATAAGGACTTACTCGGGACGTCTGACATCGTGCACATAGAAAAGCATGTTGCAGTTTGCTTCCGTAGACTGTCCTCGGAAAAAAATCAAAGTGACTAATGCGAAATTTCATCAAATTCATAAATTTTTATTTATCCACCAGTCCGAGAGCCTCCGAAAATTGTTATTGCAGCTGCTGCGAAAAAAATCCGACAGATGACGTCACTGCAATGGCTACAGGGTATGCAAAAATAAGTCGCCGTCTCAGGTACATACCCAATTCTTCACTTACATGAATTCATCTCAGACCTGGCCGCCAAAGCAGTATTTAGTATAAAAGACCTATTGCACGCATTCCACCTGTGGCGACATTCCACCTAAGTAAAATAATAGTGGTCATGTTTGGTAACTCAGACTGCCTTTCGTGCTTAGAAATGCTGCTCAAGCTTTTCAGCATTCTATTCATGCAATGGCATATAAGTTTGAATCTGTTCATTACTATTTACTTGGCAAGCGCATCATTGACTCTTATGACGATTAGCCCCTGCAGTACTATGATGCACGTTTTGCACGACCACCGCAGCTTGGTTTAACATCAACTCCGACATAGTTGAACTTGTCCAAAGCACTAGCGACTTCAGTGGTTACAAGTTGTACGCTACCAGACAAACTCAGGCATTGAATACACATATGGTCCCAAGCTCTGTTAAACAGATTCACCAAATCGGTGCGCTAATTGCATGAACATTTGGTAACCAATGACAGAGTTAAGAGGCTACAAGCGGCCCATTCCACTCGTCGCTGATTACGCTCAAATGCCTTGTAAGATCCCCAACGAAACCATCTCTGAGGTATTGCTTCGCACCCACTCAGACATGGTTACACCGCCGTCGCTGATGACTGACACGTAAAACGCAGCCAAAGTGTGCGGTATTCCAACAGCTTGTCGACGGGCGACGGAGACTCTTCGGTTTCTCTTTAAAACCTGTGCTGCGTGCCAACACGGCTTCCAGCCGCTTCTATGGGGAGCTGCAAACCACCCATTTAGTTAGCAGATAAAGTTTACGGCATTTATGTTTCACCAACCAATGATTTATACACTCAGTGGCGGAACAGGCAAATATTCTCCGCGAGGAATTTGCTACAGACTACTTTTCTAAGTTCACGACAAGTTTACGACATGTTCCATGTGCTATGACAGGAGCTCTTTCATGAATCCATATTATCAGCATAGCTGTTAAACCCAACGTCAATCTGGACGCTATGGTTGCAGCCTAACAAATTGATCCCGATATTGACAGTATTCGACGCAACGCATTAAATAAACAACGGAAACTTCCGAATAGTTAATCTAAGAGGACTGTTCCTTTGGACATCCCAAAATGCTACCTGCCTCGTAGTTCCGTCAAGTATTCGCTGACATTTTGATGTACTAGAACACACGTCGCCCTCTAGACTACGTGATTTCCGAATTCTCGTAACCGAATACCAATTTGGTTCAACGACGATAGCGGTGTCCGTAGTTTCTTATGCTTATTATTGCAATTAGCATTGTAAGTTGCTCCAAGTAGAGTCTTTTATGCAAAGCTATTCATTTACGCCGCTCTTTTCGATTTGCTTTCTATTTACATCTTTTCGTTGGATTGTCTCGCCCGAAGCACAAGTAACTCTTGCTCAGTCATTTACTGGGTCTTCCCAACTGTTCCCCCACAAATAGCTGTTCTGTTTCGACCACTTAGGAAGAACACAGGTGGGTGCCCGCTAAAATTAGTTCGTATTAGTGCACCCCAGCAACTACATCGGGTGCGGTTCACATCCCAATCTGGCGGAATGATAGCTGGCGACGGATCTACAGACGTAGACTGAAGAACTAATTACACAGTCAGTTCTGTGGATGGGTTATGTAATGTTCCGCGGATTTCCTCGGATTGACAGTGCTTCTTGTGTACAATTCGGTTAGCACGCTTATTTGTTTGGTGCCGAATAACGAACTGCATCTTGAGTCCGATTGAATGAATCAAGCACTGCATTTGCTTTGTAACTCGGTTGATTCCCAACGTAGGGAGGTATCGTGCGCTGCACGCTTTCATTCTTCTATATCACTCTGTCTATCGGTATACATTTTATAGATTGGCCAACATAGAAACATTCGCTGGGCAAAATGTATGCTTCACTTCCTTCCGAAACCGTTAACTGGGCTCTTGTTAAACATGAAAGCTTATGCATCTAGGGAATATCTCCCTCAGCCTGTTTTTAGTAGATTCATAACATTTATTCCTTCAATACTTGACGATACCAACTCTGGATCCTTAAAGATCCCGGTTGTTTTATTGTGTGGTAATACCACCTGTTTGGTATTTCTCAGCGAGTCACATGCCATGTTCCTCCATGCCGTAGCTGTCGTACCCATCACACTTTTTATTTCAACGCATTACACATTTTGCTCGATCGCTTTTGAACTGTTGAATATTTCGTAATCAGTGCAAACTATGACGAATCGCTAACTATTCTTTTGACCTATTTCGAATACATGCGCTCTCCGGTTGCTTTTTGATTTTAGTGTGATTTGCGCTGGCTATTGTCGCGGCTGTTAACCGAGTGGCACTTCGCAACACCAATAATGTAAAGACTTTATGATTGCATTATATTGACGAATTTTCACTGAATACTCGATCGACCTATTCGAGAGCCTTGTTGATTTTGCGGTACTGGTGCAGATTACAGTGACTCATTTTTTACCGCAATAACTATGTTTCTATAAGGTACCAGTTATTGTTACATGGATAGTGGAAAACTGTCCACGTTTCTGTTTCTGTTAGAAAAAATAGAGCAAACGTTTAATATACCGTACTGCCTTCATTATTAACATAGTTGATACACATTCATGGAGATACTGCCACGAAATTTGCGAAGTGCACTCCACATTTACTTCACTACATTTATAGGTAACAACTTACTCATATGAGTAAGCAATTACTGTTAAGATGCTCGTGATTGACCTAAGAAATGTAAGTCGTCGACATGCGCACCACATGTTAAAGGCATATGGAGTCAGTGTAAAATACAGAACATTAAGGAATCAAATCAAATATCGTAACCAAGCGCCATTATATGCTCTATGCATTTTGAAATGTCAGATGATACTGACTGTGCTTTTAAACTCTTCGCAGTTTCCCTCGGAAGTAGTTCTGTCGATTGCGTAATATGCGTCCAGAGCTGTAAAAATGCAACGAGCCATAATTATGATATTTTGGAGTTTGCAGTTTGAAATAGTACAGTCAGAAGAAAGGAAAGGACGTAGCCGTAAGTTTTATTATTTTTACTCAAACCAGATTAAATGCTAATAACACTAATACTACTATGTCCGATATCTTGAAATTTGTTTGGGACAGATCGGGAAGCTATCCTTTTAGAAGCGCTGGTTAATGACCGGTTAACATATTGGTTATGCACACATTTTTGCTCCTGACTCGAATGCGAAGAGTGCAGAAAATTTTGGAGTTAAGAGCCAAAGTTGTACAGTTAACAAATATATTAACCGGTCATCCACTAGTCGTCAAGAAATTCTGAAATTATCTAATTATACTAGTAAACTCATCCACAAATTCCTACTGCACACAAACACTTACACGCTGGTTCATGGGATACTAATGATGCAGTAAGTTGCAACCGAATTTCAGTCACCGCCAAATGTATATGAGAATGCGTGTTTTAACCTTAACACGCGTTAATATGCTTAAACCTTGCTGTCGGAATACTTTCACCCTGCTGAAGAAGCGCTTCATTGTATGCAGTTCATAACCCGACAGTTCAAACTAGGTTCGATTTCATGTGCATCATTTGTTAGGTGAACCGTTCTCTGAGCTTTCCAAATTTGTTGCAAACATCTTGTCACCAGTCGAGGTGACATCATCGGTGCGTTAGTGAGTAGTGTAGTGTAGTGTAGCTATGCGTCAGTAAGTGTGAACCGGGTATCCACGCTCGAGAGATTTTATCTCATCGTCATCAGCCGTTGGGGCATATAACCATTTTAAATGGCCTCGAGGACACAAGCCGCATTTTACCGCAGCTGAGAATCCCGCTTCAGCTGTTTGTATGATGTCCTTTTCGATTAATGTTGCTCTACTGCGTTGGTGATACTTTGTTCATAGCTTGGCATAGATGGCATCCAACTCGACGTGCCGATCAATTGAATTCTTTGTGGGGTGCCATGCTTCTAAGATGTCGGTTGCCTGCTTCGTACTTCCATTTCGTAATGTCTTCCAGGTCTAAATGATGCCAAGTTTCATTCACGGGCATCAAAATTAATTTACATGGGTTAATTTTATTTATGGCCGTTCCGTGCTCTCGGATCCGCGTGGAAAGCTTTTCCCGTCTGGCCGATGTAATGCTCAATAACTTTGTTTCAGTTTCTGCAGCGCACCGCTCTTGTCTTTCGACCCTGAAAGCAACCAAACTATGCAACGGACTAACACGCCAATTATGTCATCTCGACTGTGGACGATACGCTCGCAACAAAATTGCCGAGGTCAAATAACAATTCACCTGGCAAATGAACAAACTGAGCTACCAAACTTTAATTACCGGAATCACATTAGGCGTAGAACAGATTATAAATTGCCGCTATGCCAATCAGGTAGTAAGAGATCGTCCAGGTTTGTTACAGAAGCATTGTTGTTTTTACTAATAGTTGCCATTTCATTACGTTTTCAGTGCTAGTAGAGCATCTATGTTCCCTGCTTGTTTAAGACAAACATTCAATTAAGGCTTGGTCATCCATGGTCATCTCTTACGACGGTGCTACTCAAGTGTAAGTTCCATTTAACTCCGTCTCTTACTAAATGGTGTGGTGGAGATATCTAACTGCCTACGAAATAGCTTTTTCGTATTTCAGCCACCCAGTAGCCGATTACGACCAACTGCGTATTGAACAAGAAGAGTATCGGAATCCCCAAGTGTATGCACACGAACAATGTACAACTTTGTTCAGGTATTTGTCAGCATTATGGTTTTGGACAATAAAGTGACGACAAATGCCGTCATAGATGTTGCCTTAGTTGCATAATATTAGTACATTCATAGTATACTTCATGTATTTATAGCACATAGTATATGCAGATAGGGAACTTTAAGGAATAGATCACTTCAATACTCCTCGATTTCTGACAACGTTAAAAAATAGATGGCTTTGGTGTGAACACGAGGTTCAGGACAACTAAAATATTGAATATGGTAATGTTATACTTGTATTCCTCCACATAGTTCAATAGGCCGGACTAATCAAATAAGTATAAATGTATTAGGTACTTTTATTTAAACGTTTGTACACCTAACTCTGGCAAACTGTGGAAATATCCGGAATACTACGCCTGCATTTTAGATATTTGTATATGTGATAAACTCATCAGAAATGCTACACATTGTGACATATTATTGCTGCTACTCCATTAAGGAACTGGTTCAATTCTCGAGTCTATAGCCTAAATGCATAAGCTTCAAAGTATGATTACAGAAAGTGTAGTTTGAAGGAATTACATACGTGGTAACTTGACCACAAATGCAAATGTCGATTGCTAATGATATGTGATGTAAGCAATAATAACAAGTCCACCAATTTTTAATTGCAGTCGTGCAACTAGTGATTATTCAGGAGCCATGCAGAATTTATGTTCCAGCATGGTTACCTGCAAATGTTAATGCGTGTAATCTTTGGAAATTAGTTAGACTACCGGTCTAGCTGATTAGAAATGTGGTTGCTTATATTCCCGACTGATCTGCTTGACGCTGGCATGGGATCAGCAAATGGTATGCCACGAACTGAGGAAATTTCAATTAGAGATGAAAGCAACAAATTGCTTCCAACAACGTCCGTCATTTTGTAGTCATGGAAGCATGTGAAGTAAAACATGCACAATTTTGATGATGCAGATGTCTGTGGAAATTCCGTGACGCTAAATAAGGATGCGTCGTGCTGGCAGTATGATTTGATTTTATTGAGGTAATTTCCGGCTGTACCAAGCTATTTGTTACAACCTGGACATTTTGTTGGGTAAAGTTATGATCATTCATGATGGCAAACATGTTTCAGGTTTCATACACATTGTGGAACTGTGTGTGATGTATTGCGATCAGCTAGAAAAACCACCGAGTAATATGTGTACTACAGCAAACTTGCGTCTCTGTGCCAACCACAGGTACATGCCTGATCAAAAGGAACTTTGGACTGTCAATTGCACTTTTACGTAAATATATATATATATATATATATATGTCCTTAGTGCATGTTTCAGGCCAAAATGTCAGCATGTTGTTGGTGACTTGCTCGATTCAACACGTGTAATCCCATAACAACTATATCTCACGCTTTTTCTCAACTTGTTATTCGAAGAGTGACACAATTAGAAGTTGTGCCTAACAACTGTAAACGTTCTATACTATGCAAATTATAGGTTACAATTCTCAGTATTTACTAAAGAGCTTGTAGCTGTCCACCTCCGACCCGGAATGTGGGTACTGGTAGTAAGATATTCCGCTGCACTGCACAGCTCAACTTCAAAATCATTTTGCAATTATGGTAGCCACAATTTTCCCTATAAAGCTGTTTATCGTTATGAAAATTCGCTGCTTCTGAACGTTGTCATCTTAGTTTAACCACTTCAATAGCATGCGCAATTATGTTAAAGAGCCACAAGCCGATAAAATTCACGATATGCTACCATCAGGGTAGGTGATATGGTTCAGCTTGCGGCAAATAATCGGTGAGCAGATATGCTGGCCAACAATATTGTGGATCACAAGATTCATTGCTTTTGCGGCTGTTGCGGACGAGCATATTTTTCAGTTTTGAGAATTTTGATCAAGCACAACTGTGGCTGCAATTTTCTAGCTGTTTACGCCTTAGTTTTGTTAAACAAATCGTGCACATACCTGTTGATGCAAGTGTAGCACATTGCAGCTGCACCAGCTGTAGACACACACTACATTTCTGTTTGTTGGCTCACGGCTAGGCACACTGCCGTATTCTATCCATTTTGCTTTTTCGTGGCAATAAACCAGAAGAAATTATAACAATTTAAGTAAACTCGATTTGCTATCTCCCCTGTAACAACAGTTCATTCCGTACAGCCTTAAAGACTCGTTTCAATTCATTGGCGACCACGATGAACTCAACCTGTCAGACAAAATCATATGTATTTTGGATGTGGAATCCTTACTTACGAATGTCCCGCTACATCAAACGGTTGAATACATGTGCGAATTAGCTAAAATCGGTGGCTGTACACTACCAATTCCAACTGCATTACTGAGAGTATATTTACTATTGTGCACGGAGAATGTAGATTTTTACTTCCGGAATACCCCATACCGTCAAATTGACATCAGAGCAATGGGTAGCCCATTAGGTCCTGTTCGCGCTGGTTTCTCCATGCTTATGGTCGAAAGAAGCATCTTTACGAAAATAGCTCAGATGCCTACTTCAAAATATATATAGCATTGATATCTTGGCTTTCTGTTCATTGGAGCAGCAGCTCACATATTTGGTAGGATGGCTCAATGATGCTCATGCTAACATACGGTTTTCATGCGAAGTAGAAAAGAACAAATGTCTGCCAAAACTGGACATACTCATAAGTCGCTGGAATGATGGATTGATTAAGAGCTCCAATTACCCTAAATCAACTTGGTCCGTTCAGTACTTGTACTTCGCTAGCTTCACACCCTTGCCGTAAAAACGGACACTTGTGAAAGCACTAGTTAGTCGTGCCTGGCGAATTCGCTCGGCCGACTGTCGGGACGATGAGCTAGTGTTAATTACCGTAACACTAATAGCGAATGGCTACCCTCGAAAATTGATCGAGGAACACAGCCAAACGCGAGAGCCAAAGGATTTGGTGCACACGGCAGACAAGAAGAAAGTGTAAATCGAATACCGTTCAACGATGACTTAGCCACGCTAAAGACAACTAAGCGTATACTTTTAGCTACACAAGGAAGTTACCGTGCTGCACAAGTTGTCATCATCAACCGAACCCGAACTTTGCCCATACCTCCAACGAAGGTAGCTCCGCCTATTGGGGCCAACTCACAACGTGTATACCAATTTGTATGTGACTACGGAAAACGTTACATAGGCAGAACTTATAGAACTCTGACTACCCGAATAAAGCAGCATGTACCAAGATGGGCTCAGCGTGAAGTTGCGCAGATTTCCAACC